CAATTGCTTGAAAACAATTGTAAGACTTAAACGGACAATATGGACCCCTGACGTCCTCTATTTTTCATTTTGCAAAGGCAGTAGTGCTGAAAGTTAGCTACCTCTAAAGTATAGTTTATATTGAGTCCCTACATGGATATAATATGATTAACTATGAAAGGGATGCACTGCTTTAGAAGGTTTTCTGGTATTATTAGTCTGATTTAAAAAGAAGTTGAAATGGTGTAGCACTCTTGGGAAAGCAGTATAGGAACTAGTGCACCTCAGTACTAGTTCCTACTACTCGGTAGTAGAGGTCCGCAATCTCTCAAAAAGTAGAATACAATACAAAATCCACAGGTAGGATGCACGGTGCAATTTATTGGGGAAAGGACCACAAACAAATCATGGATATTGTATTGTTTTTTTTTGTGGTCCTTTCCTCAATAAATTGCATCCTACCTGTCGAACCTGTGAATTTTGTGTTGTAGTCTGATTTATAAAGACCAAAATACTTTGTAGCAATGTCCACATCTGGCAGCTCCAATAGATCTCTCTTCTGGAGATATCTCCAACTTGTCCCTAAGAAATCTCCCTGAAAATAGTTTGTCGCAAGTTTTATAAAGCATGAGTCAATATGCAAAAGTGCCAGTCCCATTAATGAAAGGGCCTCTCAACTTAAAATGGGTGGAAGAGACTCTGTGACAACTGTAAAAAAATCTTACATATTTGGTGGCTGTCCGTCAGGGTACTTCTAAGGTATAACAGTGTTGAGTGGCATTATAAAAGCAAAAACATTCATGTAAATTGTGACAGTTTAGTCAAATGGGAACATGGTGATGAAGACTCTACTCAAACAAGTATTTGTCAGGTTAGCTGTTTGGTGTAACCCCTGCTGTCATTGTTCTTGGCTCTTGGCATGCTTGAACTCGTGGGAATGTGTTGAATGCTTGCGTCTTTTCTGTGTTCCGATCACAAATTTCAGTTCTGTGAAATATTATTGTGAGTGTCAGAAACAATTGCTGTTTTTAGTTGCACTGCAACTAGATCCCTTAGCTTGCGTGTGGATCAAAAGGGGAAAAAAGCTCTATCGCTTTTTTCTGTTGTTTTGTTTTAAATTTAATTAATTTTTTTTTAACTTTGTTTTTTAAATCATGCTTGGAGCTCCCAGAGAGAACTGGTGCTTTTAAACCTTTCCAGGTCAGTTTAACTAGCCTCTGTCTATTTTCTTCATGGCCCGGACAAAATTAAGATATTGTCGCTAATTTGCGAACTCACATCTAGCACTCTGTTGTTGCTGTCCAGATTTGAATGGCTAATGCACATACTTGCACATTAGGCCACAGAAGAAGGGTAGACGTTTTGGTGCAGGGAGCACCCTGTTTGTTTTACAATATTTGCTGTCAATGAGATGTACTTACATGGACTGATTAGATTGCTGTTCAACTAAAGATAATACATCATTAAGCACAAATCAGTATTTTGGCGATTTGTATTAATATTTATCATAATGTTGTATTATTCAAAAATCTAATTTATTTGTAAAATTCCGACTTCTCATTGTAAAGCGGAACCCATGTGAAGATTTAATGGTTCTCTCTACTAGTGAAAGTACTAGCATCAATTATCATCATTGGTTGCAGTAATTGATCCATTTTATGCTTCTCAGTAGCAGTCCTCTAGACAAAAGTACATTTCTGTCTATTAAAAATGGATACATTTATGCTCCCTTTATTTATCAGTCTATATTGAATTCCTCAAATCATGTTGATTGATGAAACATTTTTAGATAATGGATTAAACATTTTTAGATGATGCTAATGTTTGTTTTGTATTGTGATTATGCATAGACCTGTTAGAAAAACACACTGGACAGTGGTAAATTGTGTTGGTAGTCCTAAGAGATCTTGAGGAAGTAAATGTCTGAATTTTGTTTTTCTGTGCAAAGAAAAACACTCTGAGAGCCACAGCCACCAAGTCACCTGGCATAAAGACAGGGCCGGCGCTTCCTATAAGGCGAACTAGGCAGCCGCCTAGGGCGCCATATAGGAGGGGGCGCCCTGCGCCCCCATCGCGGCCCTTGCCAGTCAGCCTGAGCTTCATGGAGAGCCCAGGCGGCCAGACTACCGAAGGCAATGAGTTCGTCTGTGACTACCGATCACACAGCGCACACGCGCGCACTTCCCGCCTGGCCCCTACTGGCCATGACCGAAAGGGTGCTCTCCTTCACGCCACAGTGCAGGGAGGTGGCGAGAAGCCAGATTGATACTCGGCCACCACAACCACCCTCAACCAACCAGATGATGGGGGGAGATGAGATGATGGAGGGGGGATGAGATGATGGAGGGGGGGGAGATGAGATGATGGGGAGATGATGATGGGGGGGGGGAGATGAGATGATGGGAGGGGGGATGAGATGATGGGAGTGGGGGGAGATGAGATGATGGAGGGGGGGGAGATGAGATGGATGGGAGGGGGGGGGGAGATGAGATGATGGAGGGGGGGGAGATGAGATGATGGGGAGATGAGATGATGGGAGGGGGGGGAGGATGAGATGATGGGAGGGGGGGGGGGAGGATGAGGATGATGGAGGGGGAGATGAGATGATGGAGGGGGGGGGGAGATGAGATGGATGGAGGGAGGGGGGAGGATGAGATGATGGAGGGAGGGGAGATGAGACGATGGGAGGGAGGGGAGATGAGATGATGGAGGGAGGGGGGGGAGATGAGATGATGGAGGGAGGGAGATGATGATGGGAGGGAGGGGAGATGAGATGGGAGATGAGATGATGGGAGGGGGGGAGATGAGATGATGAGGGGGGGAGATGAGATGATGGAGGGGAGATGAGGATGATGGGAGGGGGGGGGAGATGAGGATGATGGGGAGGATGATGGAGGGGGGATGATGGGAGGGGAGATGAGATGATGGGGAGAGGGATGATGGGGGGGAGAGGAGATGATGGGAGGGGGAGATGAGATGAGATGATGGGAGGGGTGGGGAGATAAGATGATGGGAGGGAGGGGGGGGAGATGATGGGAGATGAGAACGTAGGGGAGGGAGGGGGCGGTGGAGAGACCACTAAGGGGCAGGAGAGATCTCTAAGGAATGGAAGGGAGAGCTCTATAGGACAGGGGGACAGGGAGCTCTTTCACACCACGCACACACACACACACACAATGCATCCCTATACACACAGAAACACAACATGCTTCCCTTACACACAGAGAAACACACAATGCAACCCTTACACATAAAGACAATGCATCCTTTGAACATATACACAGAAACACACAATGCATCCCTAACACACACATGCAAACACACACTGCTTCTCTTACACACACACAGAAACACAATGCATCTCTTACACACACTCAACGCACCCCTACAGACACACACACTGCATCCCTTACATACACAGAAACACACTTTGCATCCCTTATGCATACAAACACAGATTCACACAATGCATCCCTTACACACAACAAGAAACACACAATACATCCCTTATACACACACACACACTGCTTCCACTACACACAAACACACTGCATCACCTACACAAACTGGTATCCCTATACACTACATTCCATAAGCACACACATTAGATCCTCTACAGTAACACATAACACATCCCCTACACGCTCTACTCCCTGTGAGTTCATGGGTGGAACATGTAGGTGGACTTATGGGTGGGCTTTATGGGCATACTCACCGTCAGGCCCTGGGGCCCAGACCTTGAGCTATGTAAGAGGCCCCAAAAAATGGAGCTGCTTCCCGTTTTCCCAGAACATGGAATTTTGTGACCACAGTTACAAACAGCCTCCAGAGATCCTGTTCTACACCAGACCAGTGGAGCCAGACTGCAGCCAGAGCCCATCACCATCCTCATCTGATTGTAAGTAGGCAATCTAGTATATTATTAGTGACGCTAATCGCTAATTTACCTCACATTAAATGGACACTATAGTCCCCAGAACCACTGAAGCTTAATAAAGTTGTTCTGGTGTCTATAGTTTGTCCCTGCAGGCTTTTTAATGTGCAGCACTGGCATTAGTTCATTTGGGTGGGGAATTGCGATGTTCTGGGGGTGGGGGGGGCGGCAAATCCTTCTTTTGCCTAGGGCGGCAAAAATCCTTGCACCGGCCCTGCATAAAGATCACAAGACCCTTGTGGTGGACGTTATTGAACCTAAGGCCTGAGTTGCAACATTTACTCTGCAAAGAAAAGAAAAGAACCATTCACATTTCATGTATTCAGGAAAGTTTCTGTAGGGCAGTGCCCAAAGAGCTCGCAAACTCGTCTTACTTCTTGCCCAGCATCTGTGCAAAAAAGGGAGAAAAGAAGAAAAAATTTAGGTTTAGCGTGCAGTACAACCCCTTTAAGCACCAATGACAAAATAATTCTAAAACAAAATAATTCTTACAAATGCTAGATAAGAAAGGGAATTCCATGCTGGCACAGAATTGTTAGAGATCATCTTGTGGTTTTATTCCATTGCTGTATGCCAAAAGAGGTTCCCAAATCAATTTTCCACAGGACCTTTCTACAGAACATTTTTACATCTACACCTGAATGAAAGGAATAGTTCAAACACCATAACCACTACATAACCACTTTGATGTAGTGGTTATGGTGCCCGAAGTGCCTGGTTGTCCTCTCAGGGTAATAAGTCAAATCATTTCAGAGTGGTTTTACCACTTACCTTGGATCAATAGGCCTGGTGCCTACCTACTCTTTAGACACTAACTCCTAGACTGAGCTAAGGCCAGCGGCGCAGGTCCACGCTCTTTAGCTGACGGTCTTAGGCAAGGCTTAGCTTGGTGGAGCTAACAAAATTGCCCTCTGTAGACAAGGCAGCAGTGGACGCCTAGGAGACCTCAGCTTCTGACTTACGGTGATTGTGACCTACGGTGGTCAAATACTATATGGTGCTTGGGGTGTTCCTTTAATGCCATACAAAGCACTGAATAACATAAATAGAAAATATTATCTGTCTACTCTCATTTAAGTCAGCCTTCTCATATCACTTGTGTTATTGGGTGCCCACATGTCCCGGATCGCCTAGGACAATCCTGCATTTTGTGGGTCTGTCCGGGGTCCCGGGCACCTTCATTCCGGGACAATGTAATGTCCCGGAATGAGCTGGGCCCCATATTAGTCAAGAGATGATCTGCTGGCTTCCCCACAATGCCAGCGCCGCGGGCCCCCATTTGCTGCCCACCGGTAGAGATGTGCGAGTGGCAGCCCTCCCTCTCCTCCCAGTGCTGCGAGGAAGTGAGATCATATGCGATAACGACAGTTCCTCCCAGTGCTCTTTGCAGACGGCCTTGCGGGAGGAAAGAGAGAGGAGCTCCCAGGACCAGGTAAGTGTATGGAATGAGGGAGGGGGGTGAAATCTTTATCATGGACTCACTAGTACTACTAGTGATTCCATGATAAATATTTCACCCTCCTTCCTCTCAGTGAGTCAGTAGTGGGGGGTGGACATGAAAAGGGGTAATAGATATGATATGGGGGGGTGAATGGACATGAAATATGGGCGGGATGGACATGACATGGGGGTGTACATGAAATATGGGGGGGAATGGATGCTGAAACCCACGCTACGCCGCTGTGTCCAGTGTAAAGAGGGGGTCCGGGAAGGGCAAGGAAGTGTCTCTGAATGGCATTTTCGAAATGTAGTCACCCTAATTGTGTAGCTCCATAAACATTCCTCTAAAAACTATCTACTAAATATAAAAACTCAAGGATTGCTGGGCATGCAGTCTAATGATGTCATATTCCTTATACCAGTGGTGCTCAAAAGGTAGATCCCCAGATGTTTTAAAACTACAGTTTCCATGGTGCTTTGTCATTCTAAAGGCAAGCAAAGGCATGCAAAGTATCTTGGGAGATGTAATTCTACAGCATCTGGGCATCTACCTTTTTGGCACCCCTGTCTTATACCATTAAAGAATTTTGTTTTGTTTTGGTGTTTTTTTTTGTTTGTTTTTTTTATAAAATTGTTTGTCCAATAATCACAAGAAAATGAACTGCTATTTATTTAAATTTTTCGACGTTTATTTAAATTTTCTCTTGTCATATAGTAGAGACTTGTGGTTTAGATTTTGGGGTTTATTTGCTAAACAATGAAATCTGAATGTGAAAATGAAGAAAAGACTGTATCGCAGTTGTAGGATTTTTACAGACAACCTAATTCTGTCTATATCTTGCCAATAGGGTTCCCATTTACAGCACTTCAGACTTTAGTGAATAAAGTACTTTGTGCTTATTGAAATGTAAGGCATGCAAACAGCAATTTATTTGGCAGAGTAGAACGTGCCCAATTGATGTTACGTTAAAGATGCACACAAATGTTTACAAGAAAATAGAAATAAAAAATAGAAACCACTTCTTGTCCCTGTGTGAGGAAGCGAACGTTCTTTTCCACATCTATTTTCACGCTGTCATTTATGGCTACCAATGAATCCCTGTCTCACCGAGCGTTGCAGTTATGCTAATCAGAAAGATTTTCCAAAACTTTTATCTTGATTACATGAAGCACTCACTAGAATAAATAATCCACTTATTACTTGCCTAAAAACACAGAGATTAAAATAATAATTTAATGTGCAAAAGGAACAACTATTTAGAAGAGATGTTTTAGATTTGCAGAGGGCGTCTCATATATTATGGCTTGAGAGGGCTGGTTGGAAGCTGTTTGTAGTGTGCTCGATCAATAAAATAAAGTGGATTGGCTGCACCAAAGAAAGAGAAAATTGGTGTCAAGGGACCTATTTAGTCAGGTTTGTTCTGGTGATGTGCTTTCATAATCCTCGGAGAATCTTTCTCCTTAGTGGTATCCTCGTTATATATTGTATTCTATGAAACCAACATCACAGAGGCTGGCTGTACAGCACAAGGCCTTACAATTAGAGGCATTGAATTATAAGTAAACTTTGAATTAAACGTGATGTTTGTGAATATGTGTGATCTACTGATATTTTTTCTTTTTTTTTTGAAAGCTACCGTTTATTTGTACAGATACACATCCAAAACACTGAAATATGCCAATACTAGTCAGTATATATTAGTATCACACAAAGGAAAAGAAAAATACTGATCACAGATATTCAGGATGCCGGAAAGAGACAGATTTATATTTGCTTTGGGTTTTATTTTTGTATATCATTGCACAGTACTGTGGAATATGTAAGCATGTTATAAATGAAACTAATAAAGCTTTGGTATGGCATTATCTCCCTATTGTATAAGATCAACTAAGAGTTAATTTTAAGAAATATATTTTGTTGTGTAAAAGTATTTTAAAATAGTGTCAACTACTACCAACACAGGAGACTCTGGGGAACGTAAAACAGGATAGGATTTGCTTTCCTTTTTTCTTAAAAAGTATATTCAGTGTTTGTTATGCTTAGATCGATTTTTAGTGGTTTGTTATGAAAATGCAAATATTTAAAAGGACCTGCTTCTTCCTTCATTTCATTACAATACTGAAATTGGTTCTGGCCAGTTTCAAATGCTAGAAGTGAAGCAATCCGCAAGAACATTTCCTTGGTTTTCATGATAATGAATTTTGCATCAGAATTATAGTAAAAGATGGAGGTTTGTAAGAACACACATTGTTTTGCACAGCCTATGGATATTGTGTGTTGTCAATCATTACCAGTCTGACAGGTACAGAATGTCAGAGAGCTAAAAGCTTGAGAGGGATGGAAATGTGGTGTGCGATAATGACTGGGGGGAGTCGTCTAAAAATCATGGAATCTGAATTAATCATTCAGTAGAAATCAGACCAATTCTGAGGATTAGTTGCAGTGGTAGGTCACTTTCTTCCCTATAGTGGCTGTCTATGTACCATAACCATAATATGTTCATAAAGAGGATATGGTGCTATTGGGTGCGGATGCTATCCCATGGTTCTTAGTCAAAATATTTTAAAGTTGTTTGAACAAAATCGGAGTCGGCTAGGCACTTACAGTCCAGCTCTTGCACACTTATTGCCACTTTGACATTTGCACAGATCAATTTTGTCCATATTTGGATGGCAACTAATAGGATGAGCCTACACTCTTTGCCAATCACAAAATGCCTGAAATAGCTCAATAATTGTTTAGTACTTGTTTTTTTTTTCTTTTTCAGCGACTAATGAAACAAATAATAAATATATTCATGAATACAAAAGTCAGTGCAATAATGAAAAGCTGCTGGTCGCCCACTATGTTATTAAACCTTGCACCATTGCATATTGCGGGAGGGAATAGTTAGGCCCACATCTAGGGCCCCCTACTGCTTAATAAAGGTTATGGGGAATCCCATGTTTTATGTTTGTTTGTTTTTTTAATTGTACAACAACTGGTCACTAGCTGCATTTAATTTCAGAAATTATTCTTATTTTTGTGAACATTCCATCCTAGAACAGATCAGAAGAACTTGGCAACTTTTCCATCTCTGATAAATATCCAAATCTTTTAGTTTTGTATAGAATTTATGCTTATTGTATATCTATATCTCTAATTATTATTATTTTTAATATTTTTTTTAATTCACGCATCAAAATTGATGAATAAGATGTGCACATTTGATGTGATTCTTGGATTTTACCACTGGATAGTAAACATCTCATTTGCGAAATCCTAGGAAAATCCTGTGATATCTTACCAAATTTTGCTAATCTAGTGTGTATTCAGACTTTAGTTAAAGGACCACTCTAAGCACCCAGACCACTTCAGCTTAATGAAGTGGTCTGGGTGCCAGGTCCAGCTAGGGTTAACCCATTTTTTAATAAACATAGCAGTTTCAGAGAAACTGCTATGTTTGTAAATGGGTTAATCCTTCCTCCAATTCCTCTAGTGGCTGTCTCACTGACAGCCGCTAGAGGCGCATGCGTGATTCTCCCTGTGAAAATCACAGTGAGAGCACGCATGCGTCCATAGGAAAGCATTGTAAATGCTTTCCTATGAGACCGGCTGAATGCGCTTGCCGCGCGTGCGCTTTCAGCCGAATGGGAGGAGAGAAGGAGGGGAGGAGGATCGGAGGAGAAGAGCTTCCCGCCCAGCGCTGGAAAAAGGTAAGTTTTATCCCCTTTCCTCTACACAGAGCCGGGCGGGAGGGGGGCCCTGAGGGTGGGGGCACCCTCAGAGCACTATAGTGCCATGAAAATGAGTATGTTTTCCTGGCACTATAGTGGTCCTTTAATAATAATCCAATAGTATTCTCACTGCCAGGATGGCAATAGAAGCGTAGAGGAGAAAAAAGGAACTTGCTTTAGTCGAAATAAAGGATTTTAACATACCAATTCACAGTAACAATTGAAAAAGAATATGAATTTATACTTGTCAACTTAAGCAGTTGTAAGGCAGCATTTCTGAATTTTAAATAATCTTTTCCAACATTTCATGTTCTGTCACTGAATAACCACTTTAAAGAGTAATTTATTTTTCAATAAATATTTCCTCTACAGGACTGTTTAACTATTCCGATTTTAGTGATGCACCTAATGCCTCGCAAAACCCATATAAGATCCCAGTCGCGGCAACAAACCCTTCTAATATATTCTGTGTGATACTTCTGAATATTAATAAAAATTAATAATTAATTTTGCCTTTGGCATTGCAAGAAATACTAGTTTTAATTAGCGTAGTGTACTCTTATACAATTAAAAAATAATTGATTTCCACACTTATTGGCGGTTCCTATGATCTCTTTTCCTGTTGTTGTCAACAAATGCCTTCGAAAACAAGTTCAAGAATGTTTTGCTGTCCAATTGACTTACAATCCCACATTAAGGAGCAAATCTTTTATGATTAAACAGAACAATTTTGATTTCAATTTACGCAGAAATGTATGACAAAAAACAGAATACTACTAATTCAAAGCTGTGAAATTGGGGCGGTGTCTATTCATTCGATATCCAGAAAGTTGTCTAGAGCTGGATACACAGGATATTGAGATTGTAGTCCAGAGCTGGTATAATTGATATCAGGAGTATAGTCCACAGGTAGGCTCTTGTAGATGTGGTCCATCACTTGTTCATATTTGGTTCAGACAATGTGTGACAGGGAGAGCAGTAGATCTCTCCTAGAGGCTGTTCTTCAATTCTCTGTTACAGTAACTATAGCGCATGTGCTATTGATTAGTCCTTGGAGGAGTGCATCTCGCTGTTTGTTAGAGTAATATAGGAACAGGAAGTGTTCTCAAACAGGGATAATCCTGGGAGGAAGGATGGACAAGGGATGGGTGGTATATTAATTTTTTTTTTTTTTTCAATTTAAAATTTTTATTATCTTCAAGAAAAAGGTATGGGGTACAGAAGAGAAGAGGGAGTGTTAACATAGCATGGGGGTGACACAATCACATTTTGTACATCATGGTAGCTTCATGTTTAAGTAGGGGGGTAGTTCAGAAG